CAGAAAAATCTACTTGAGTACAGTAACGAAGTATTTGTACTTCGTTACTTCCCATCTCTGCCTAAAAGCCTCCACTCAATCTGACAAAATGCTTAAATGTTCATTTTATGAAAGACTTTATGAGGTCATTTTACCTTTTTTATGCAATTTTAAATTAGAAATGCTATATTTTTAGGTAGAGAACAAATAAGCTAACCCAGCTTTCGCTCTGAGTTATGCATTCTAATTGTCAAGAGAGGCTTGTTAGAACGTTATGCAAAGATGAGTAATTATACAGAAAAATAGAACAAGTGCAAAATGTTTAAGCTCATAAATAATTTATGACAAAACTTTGGATTTTTCATCGGGAGCTTAAAGGATGGGGGACAGAATGACTCACTACAGAGGAAAATAGCTGAGTTGCTATTCGACCCAAACACGTTGCTTTGATGATGAACCAACACTGTTTGAATCAAAAGAAACATTTCCAGAAACCCAGAGGATTTAAAAAGCTCCTGTAAAGAGCGGTAGACTAAAAACCAACATGAGGTCTATGCAAACATGCTGACCAACTGCAGAAAATGTGTCTTTACTCGCTTGCTTAGCAGCAACTGCTGAGACACTAAGTCCTAAGTCATGTTTTACTCAGTTTGATTAATAAACACTTAAGTTACTTTTAGTTGTTATTTTAGACTTTATACCTGTTATTTCTCCTTCTGTGTGATCTTCAGAGATATACGCCTTTAATGAATGTATTTCTTATAATAAAAGCAGTGTTACATGTTCATGCAGTGAAATCAGGACTCACCAGCTGGTCGGCCTGGTCCTCCAGGTCAGAGCAGAAAGACAGCAGGTCAACAAGAGTGACCCCCTTATTCACCTGGAAACAGGATTACCCTTTCATTAGTGCCATCAACAAGTTTAAACTCTTTGTAATAAAACAAAACTATCAACAGTAAAGAAGTATTTATTTTTCTACCGTGGATGTTGTCACAGTTTTAACCTCAGAATAAAATGTTTGCAGCAGGATAGAAACGACAACTGAAGATAAAACTATACAAATGATTTTTATTAAGCTCTATCTTAAATGGGGATAAACACAATGATTAACAATCATTAAATAGCTTGACTTGATGTTTCTGACATCACTGTGAGGATTTAAACCGACTCTTCTTTACCAAACACATTTTATCACAGCTTTGAGTAAAGATGAACTTGGGGCTTAAACTACCCAGTTGCAGCATGTAGTTTTCCAATGTTCAGGCCTAATATTGCATGTTCATGATGTGTTTAAGATCTTTGTCCTAATGACTGAGTTTGGGCAAAGCTTCAACAGATTTCCCTGACTTTGGTAAACAGAGGAGCTAATTGACTGATTGTGTAAGTGGAAAATAATCACAAATAACTACACTTTTACCATACCTTAGAGATTAATTTTTGTAATTGTTGACATGATGTTTTACTGTCACACACGACACTGTTCAGTATAACCACACATTTTGAGTCTGGTCTCATCAGCCTGAAGACATTGTTACAGACATCATGTGTCTCATTCTAATAAGCTCTGAAGCCAGTTTTTTTTTTTCTTTTTTGAAAAAGAAATTCGCCCCTTGCAAAGGATCAAATTTGCTTATGCTCGTTTCATGTTTTTTATTATTTAACAAGCTAACTGAATCCAAGAAGGAGCTCTTGGCATTTACTTGGTTTTTTCTCTGTGCGGTCTAGGTCTGGTCTTGGGAGGAATTTGCCAGAATATTTACTTGTTGGAAGATTTCCAGCTAAAGATTTACTGACAGGTTGCCTTTTCATACTTTTCTGGAAATGGCCTTCACCATATTAATGGAGGCCAACAGTATCTTTTCTAAGGTAATTTCTTGTGTATTTATGTCTAAACACAATGGTGACTAATCAATGAAAGACATCCAGAATTAGCAGCATCAAGCCTCTATTTTCTCTAATATTTTAACAATAAGCATCAAGGTAGTAGTAAAACCTGTTTTTAGTCACAAATACATTGACAATTATAAATTCTCACATGAAAGTGACACTGAACAAGACTCTAAGTAAACAAAGAAGTTTATTGTGTTAATTTGTGCATTATAATCTTTAACAAACAAATCACCTCAGCCAGGTAAGCTGGATAGTCGATATCTCCGAGTCCTGAGTTTGCAAAGTTGATGAGGTTATCTCTGCTGGCCTGGTCCAGTAGCATGATGTCCTTCAGGTCCACTTGAACTCCATCAAACACTTTAGCCAGATCTCTGTTGTACTATTATAAAACAGACATAAAAAAAGCAACTTTGTTCACAACCATCCTGCCTTATCAGTTAACAGAAAGCAGTGAAACAGCGACACTCACCACTGTCCTGTTGAGGAAGGTGTTGATGTTGAAGATATTCTCCAGCTGCAGAGCGTGATACAGCCCATTGTTCTCATAGCACTCCCTGTTGGATAAATATCGTCATTACACAAAGAAACCCAACTTCACTGCCTTTCTGATGCAATTTCAAAGATTTCTTAATAATTTTCCTAACAATTTTTGGATATACATACAATACATTCAAAAGGAAATTACATTGTTATCAGTTTTATCTGCATATATATATGTATATATAATCTCATAAAAGAAATTAAAAATTGAACTTAACATAAATAAACTAAAATTATTGATGCACCAATTGGTGAGCTCATCTTTGTTTGATTGGCTTCGCTTGTTGATTAGCTATGTGTTCCTAAAAAATATACAAAACATCACACATCTACATCACTATTACTTTATATGTTAAAGTTTGTGAAACTTGGTCTTTGAAATTAAAATGTTTAAAACTAAGTCTAAATAACTGATTATGAATGTGTTGTAGTTCATGGAAAGAAAACCCAGAGCCCTCAAACATGTGTTTGACAGGGAATCGATAGAGCCCAGTAAAGCTTGAAGAGCGCAGTCATTTTGTTGAAGACAAACAGAGGAATTCCAAATAAATCAAATTTCAGCCTTCTAGAAAATGTGATGGATGATAAACTCCTGCTAATTGTCCTGCATGTTATCCTGTTTTGTTACACTTTTATTTCTGTCTCGGGGTTTTATTGGACCAGTTTCTTACCCTTTTAATCAGCTAATACACATCTTATTCTTCTTTAAATGTATTTTCATATAATTTTTCAACTGTTTCTTCTAATTATCCTTTTGCATCCTGAACCCTAACTTCTAACCTTGCAGTGTAAATAGGAATACTTGCAAACATTTCTCAACTTTTAAGCTTTAGCTACTCACCCATCCTGATCAGCAAAAGTACTACATTGGAGCCTATTCAAAAAACTAAATGTGCTTTCTTTTTCCATGAGAGTTTATAATGCATTTGCAGTTCTGATATGGGAAATAGTACAAAACGGAAAATATCGTTTTCTTTATAGACAGATGCGTCTTTTTCACCTGTACATGCTGCCCAGGGTCAGGTCGATGTTTGGATTCTGGAAGAGCATCCCAGGAAGGAAATTCCTTTTTTCAGGATGAACCAGAAAAGGTGTATCTATGATCTGCACAGACAAGATGTTCACCAACAGAACAATTTAACCCCATTCTACATCACTATCCTGTTCAGATGTGATTGAAAAGAAGATGGAGGAGAGTCATGATTCATGAATTAAGATTTCCATCTTTTGTACCTTGAACAGCTGTCGGTTAGCCAGAGGTTCACATATCAGCTTCTCCACGTTGCCTCCAACAACAAACATGGTTGTAACGATGCCCATCAGTCCCCAGGCAAAGATAAATGAGAAGCCCACGCCACTGAACGACAAAAAGTCAAAATTACCTCTAAAATTTACTTTGAAAGTTTGAAATTTGTGTTGACGTGTTTTAAATATGATTTTTTGTTAAAACAAAATAAAAGACTTAAAAGGAAACTCTTAAATACTGTAAAACTATGAAACTATTATCAATATCAAACTCTTGTAAAGTAGATTTATCCATAAAATAAATTGCCCAACTTGGTAACCTATAATAAATTATGTCATTTTTTCCACCATGTTCTGATTTTACTTTCATTTCAAGAACAACAACAATAGAGCAAGTATTGCTTGGTAGAGATTATTTTGTCTGTTTAAGAAAAAAATGCTGGGCCTTTTTTACTGAAGGCTAAACATGGTCATTTAAAGCAGATAAGTAAAATGGATAGCAGCCACTTAAAAGCTAATTTTGAACGTTTTTTATGGAAACATACGCCATCAGCAGGTTTCCTCCGGTGTTCGACAGGCAGCCACGTGTTGTCGGGGTAGCCTGCTTATCGTAGCCACAGGTGCCACAGAGCAGACCAAGCACATTAAAGGCCAAAATAAGGACGACTGTGCAGAGCACAGCAACGCAGATGATCCACCTGCAGCACAAAAAAAACAGTTTAATAGTCTTCAGTTTTTTAAGTAGTCAGAAGTTTACATGGACTGATTGCTGGCTTGTTGCTGCTGCACAGTACTGTAAATGCATTTGTTTAGGAGAAAAATGCTGCCTAAGATAAATAAATAAATAAAACCTAGATCAGAAAAAGAAGAGAAATCAATTTAAAGTTGTTGTTTTTTTTGACAAGGTTCACAAACCTGTAGAAATCCATTTGGTCAATCTGAGGATAAAACGACTCGAGATACTTGTGTCTTTCATTGAGAAATATGGTGAAATTAGCCAGAGAGGATTCCACTGGGAACATCTTAGAGAATGCGGTGATCTCATTTCCAATCTTATCCAGCATGTTTTTCACTCCTGCATTAAAAAAACACAAGCAAACAACTGAAGTGACAAGGATTTAAAATGAAAACTGACATTTTGTCACAAGCTATGTACATATGCTAACAAACAACATAACACATCATCATGCTGTGGGGACATGTTTCTTTATTAGGCTCTGGGGAATCCAGTCAAAGTCGACACAAAGATGGATGGAGCTACAAAAACATTGGCCAACATTGTCAGAACCTGGAAGACAGTACATATTGGGCTGTTGATTAACCTGATGTCAAAGCATATGAATGTGTCAGAATGGGCTAGTCAAAGAGAAAACAAGGTAATTGGAAATCTGTGGCATTATATTCATAGATATTTTCCATCCTGTCTAACTGAGATAGAGCTCTTTGACAAAGAGAAATAGGAGGAAATAAGTGAAAGGATTTATTAATACATCAAAGGTTTTACAGTGTTGATTTAAAGGGGCTGATTACAAATTCATGCCACACTTTTAAGATTTTTTATGGAAAAAAAAATCTTCTTGATTAGGTCAGACTTTGTATTGATTTCAAATAAAAGCCACTAAAGTTTGTGACTGTATTGTTAAAAAACGTGGGAAAGGTAAAGACGTGTGAATCTGTCTCCACAGCACTGTAAAGAGTTTGGAGCTTGTAAGAGAAAATGTGTGTTTAGGTGTCGGGCTGGAGTTGGTAATTTAGAAAATGTTAGAAAATGGATGGATGGATAAACATAATCTTGGTCAAGGGCTACGCAGTGATGCAGTGGGTAGCACTGCTGCCTTGCAGCAAGAAGCTTCCAGGATTGATTTCTGGCCTGGGGTCTTTCTGCATGGAGTTTGCATGTTCTCCCTGAGCATGCATGGGTTCTCTCCAGGTACTCCGGCTTCCTCCCACAGTCCTAAAACATTAGGTCAATTGGCTGCTCTAAATTCTCAGTGAGTGTGTTCATGAATGGTTGTTTGTTTCTGTGTTGCCCTGTGACGGACTGGCGACCTGTCCAGGGTGTACCCCGCCTCTTGCCTGTAGACAGCTGGAAATAGGCACCAGTACCCCTTGCGACCCCCGGTGGGATAAAGCGTGACGGAAAATGGACAATCTTGATCAAAAGTTTTTTTTGTTTTTTTTTTTAAACTGAAGACAATCTAAACTAAAAAATAAATAAAACATTAAAATTAGGAATTTGACTTGGTGTGGAAGGTGCAGACAGAATAAATATGTATATAGAGAATACAGAATCTGTAGCTATATAAAATATAAAACATACAGTTTTAAATCATATGAAGTGTCACGTGTCAAGTGTCATGGGGGTTCTGGGTGTATCCCACCTCTGTTTTAATGGTTACTAAAGAGGGGTACCAACCCCCTAAACCGAAAACCATGAGCTAGATTTGTTCATTTTATTCTAATAACACCATTCAGAAGATCCACAAGAACATTGAAACAGGACTTACGAGGCAGAGCTGTGTTTCATCATTTAAAGGAATGCATGTGAAGAAAGAACATGAAGCATTTAGTCAAAACTAAGTTTGATCTTACAAAGGGCCATGCACCTGCCATCCTCAAACCCATAGACAAACCCACAGGGATATGTGTGTACCTGTGACTATGTTTTTGGTTTGCTCTTTTACCAACGCTGGTGTGTCATTAAAGGAGGCATAACCCTGCAGAGGACAATAAGAAGAAGAAAAAAAAGGAAAGTGGAAAAACACAGATAGTTACTGGAGCATAAAGCCATCGACCAAACTATAGGACAGTGTCTTGGAAACAGGAGTTTTACCTTTTGGACAATGTTGCTGAGATCTACCTTCAGTACCGTGTTAATGTTAGCCAAGGCATCATTAACATCTGGGAGCTGACAGGGAAGACAGAAAGGCAAATGTGAGTAAAAGGAAGAACAGGAAACGCTGGATTTACATTCTAGTTTGACAGTTTTTTCTGTTTAAAGGAATGATAATGTCCACTGTGAATTGACGGATGGACAGACGGATTCATACTGACTCTGGGTCGTTTATATCAAGCACATATAAATCTTGTAATAAATTATTCTCTTACCCTGGAGAATTCAGCATTGACTCCCAGCTGAGGCAGCGCAGACCGGATTGAATTGCAGGTGGGAGACGCGGCTCCGTTTGTGCAGGCAGGGTCAGACAGGGTGTTGGACAGAGAGGAGCGCTCCCCTGTCAAACTGGCCTGAAGCTTTCCCATTCCTTCCTGAAGGATCTCCAATGCAGAGCTGACGTTTTCCAGGGCCTCCTTGGTCTCCCGCATAGCTAAAATCAACATTGGACATGTGAGAGAGAGTCAGAAACTACATTTAGACATAATAGTATATCATCTGATTACATTAAACTAAACTTAAACCATTCACCACAACTTCACAGCTAAATGTAAATGATGTGCCTCTGAAGGTCATAAAAATTTGATCCATTTCAGCAGCTGAATTTAAAGCATGAAACATGTACATTAAGATCATCATACTGAGAACAGATTTCAAATGTACATTTCTGTTATTTTTGGTGATTATAGTTAAAAAGTATATTACACCCAATTCTTTTTTGATGAAAATTCTCCTACACACAAGACTAACATAAAAGACTGCAAACTTGCCTAGCTGATCCCTGACAAATTACATTATCAAAGAAGCTTCTGAAGTTTTTAACATTTTCTAAGTACTAAGTGTATAAAAAGAAGAGTAAAGGCAGTTGATCAACATTTCCATACAAAACAACCATTTTTTATTAGTCTTGTTTAATACTGTTTTTGTTTTGTAACTTTGGGTTTATGTAATAATCAAGACTAGAATTCTTTATGTGTATTTCATTTTCTAAATTGCAGTGCTGAAATAAACTGATATTTCCATGATTTTTAAAGCATTTTAAATGTACATGAAAAACAAATAAGACATCACCAGAAGGCCCACAAACACAACAACACAAAGACGGCACCACTGGATCCATATCAGCTTTGTTTACCTTTAATAGCACTCTCAACTTTCGCTTTTGGTAAAAAAAAAAAAATGAAAAGGGAACCAGGGAAGTAAGAAGAGAGTACAAATAATGTGATGATTTTATTTGGTGCATTCGGGTTATTCTTCAATTATCAAATTAATCAAAAAGCAAAAAAATACTGTAGATTCATGCGTGCATTAGATTTGTGCAGGAATATCTCATCAACTGGGGGTCAAATAAAGCTCTGTTACCTCCTGCCATCCGAAGGGCAGCATCCAGCGCAGGAACCACCTCTTTCTCTAGATGACTGTGGATTCTGGCTCCCAGCAAAGGGCCAATGTCTGTCAGAGATCACAGACAGATTAGATGCATGAAAACAACAAAGGTAAAGAAAGATATTTGAAAAGCATCAATAATCTTACTGTCGAGGTCTGACAGGACTTTATTCTTTGCAGTGGTGTACTGGGCAGTCAGGTAATCGATTTGCTGCAGCAGGAAACACATTAATGTTATTGATTCATATACAGCTAAGTTGTTTCATATGTGTGAGCGTGAGTGTGTTTCAAAGAATACCGCTGGGGTGTTGTTAGCGAATGTCTTCAGGTCTCTCATGTTGGTGTTTATGAGTCTTCGAGTGCTTTTGATCTGAGAGCTGATGTTGTGGTTGGCTGCATAGGCGACAAGTACTCCCAGACTGAAACAATCAAATGAGGGAAGAGTCAGATGTGCAGTGACCAAAATGAACCAGAGGGGGGCAGCATTGCTCCAAAACACCAGCTCTAAATAAAATCCTGTATTTAAAAAAACACTGAGGAATAAAACAAGGTGATTCAATTTCCATTTAAAATTTGGAGTAACTCTTGCTTCTTGGATACAAAAACTTTGTTAACAAAGAAAAGCAACTATAAAATATTATTTTGCATTATTTAAAATCTGATTTTTTTTTCTGGATCAAGGAAAAAAAGGAACAAACCATGTTTTTTCGTTTCTGTTTTTGCTGTTCTGTTAACCTCTGGCATTTTGATTGAAACTTTCTATTTTTACGTTTTTTGAATTACAACCAACAAGATTAAACCTTTGGTATAATCTGTAAGGATGGCCTGTTAACTCATCTTAATATAATTAGTAAATCATTTTCATTATCTAAACTTGCTTTACATACAAGCTGGCAATATATAATCTAAAGATAGCAGTTTTTAAGACTTTTATGGTTTCAAACAATGAATATGAGAGTGAATGTCACATGACCAACAAGTACCACATGGCCCACCACCTCTAAAACACAATATAGCACCAACATGGAAAAAAATACAGGCTAATATCATCAGCCCAGTTTTACTTATTGGACTGATGCAACTTTTTTAT